ATGAGGAACCTACCGGGCAGAGTTTCGATTTTTTTGTTCTCCTGAACGTTAAACGTGCTACCTTAAATCGCGTAAATATAGGAAAATAATTTTCAGTCGTCGACTAATTGACGATTTCACATTTCATCCCGTGGCACTCGCGTGGGGTTTCCTAGAGCCGAAGAAAAGACTCAAAAAAAGTATCGGAAAGAACTGGGCTTCGTACATGTGGGATTCGTGGACAACACAGCTGGTTTCCTCTTTTTACGAAAAATAAATATAGGATTTCGCGGAATTATAAGTTTGCGCGCCGTCGCTAGGAATATGATAGTATAATCGCTAATTAATTATTACGCAAGAACACATACGCGAAATCAAACGCGTTTTTTCCCTTCCGGTATTTCGCGAGAAAGTATAGAAAAATGTGGGCATTAACGTTTAACGGAATTTATGTAACACACAAATTGCGTTGAACAGCGGACTTTGAGGAAAACGAAGGCGCGCACGGCGCTAAGTCGTATTACAAAATAGGCAGTGCATCGGGCTACCTCGCAAAACGAACAACCTATACAACTAAATACTAGAGAGACACATACCGCGACACTATCCAAACAATTGTACAGACTTTAGCTCGCAGTATTCGAACTTTGTTCAGCGCTTAGCTTCCAATTTTGGACTTTATCAGTCATCGCTCATTCAATGCTAAATGAGCCCTCAGGCAAAGACTTTTCATATTCCTAAGGTTTGTTTTCTGTTCCTGCACTGGTTGCACTAGTTCAAAAAGTGTACACTAAAGCGTTTTTTGTATCCAAAATGGCGTCAGCGATGGTGTTTTTTGTTTCAGTGCAACAGAACTCAGTGCACGAGTTCACCGAACTGGCTGCACTAGGTCTTGAGTCAGTGTAAGCATTGCAATAACAGTGCAAGCACCGGTGTGCACTAGTTCAGCTACAGAAAACAGATCTCGCGTAAATGACGCATAGCAAATGGTGGCAAGTTCGAGAGTCCACGACTAATAAAACAGTAAGTATACGGAAATAAAAACTTTTCTCGATCTAAAAGACTTATATTTACATTTCAATACATTAAAAATGCATACATACAAATAGAAACCGTCACAATTAGCTAAAAATTGTAACTATTGAACATTAAATTTGTAAGGTTAGAAAATGTCATGTTAATGTGTAGTATTAAAAACTTTTCTCGATCTAAAAGACTTATATTTACATTTCAATACATTAAAAATGCATACATATAAATAAAAACCGTCACAATTAGCTAAAAATCGTAACTATTGAGCATTAAATTTGTAAGGTTAGAAAATGTCATGTTAATGTGTGATAATTATATCACAACTACATTTTATAAGCAACGATTTCCACTTATTTATAATAGAAGTTGAAATATATCTTTTATAATATATATACGTATATTATATATGCATGTGTATATATATATATATACATGCATATATAAAAAAATATATATATTACTATTTATATTGTAAATGAATGAACAGAATTTATTGTTTGAAATATATCTTTTATAATATATATACGTATATTATATATGCATGTGTATATATATATATATATACATGCATATATAAAAAAATATATGTATTACTATTTATATTGTAAATGAATGAACAGAATTTATTGCTTGTTAAAACATTCAGTATTATATTATTAATTATTATGCATTATATATACAGCATAAGATTTTTTAACATTAAAAATTTGATATTCAATAGTGAGAAATTTTTAACTAATGAATTGTGACGCGGTTTTCACTTGTATGTCTCCATTTTTAATGCCATGTATTAAAATATACACATTCTAAAGTCTTTTAGGTCAAGAATAGTCTTGTCCATATACTTACCATTTTACACTCGAGTCTCGTATCGAAAGGAAGAGAATTGTACTATTGGAATTATGGAAACATGGGACGCCATTTTTATCTAACACTAGAACGTTTTCTATACCTTACCTACACGCTTACACTCGTCAGTTCTGGTTTGCACTAGTTCGGTTCAGTTCAGTTCTAGTGCAGTCCCAGGAACAGAAAACAAACCCCTAGATGAACAAATGCAAGTCCTTCCATAATCTCATCACTGATACATTACTTTTTTATAATTCCATAAATAAATTAAATTCTGTTTTCTTATATAATAAGAAAAATAATTTAAAAAATGAACGTTTTACTAATTTATATCATTGTTATGTTCAAAAGGGCTTGAATTCGTGATTGTGGAATCAATTTGTAGCTGATTAATTTAATTGGTAATTGTTTAATGTAGCGACGATATATCAAATAAATGTTCTCTCTCCATGGAAATCAAACAATCATGTTTGCGGCTAAATGCACTGGGAAAATATCAGTCTAGACGGCTCATAGAGGCCACGAATAAACGCTGAACAAATCGAGAATACCGGCCATCGTCGACATAGTTATCGTTTAGGTCGCAAGTCACGCGGGCAGCAATCGTACGATCTGATTTCGAAGACACGATGACACGATGATAAATTAAAGGTGAGGAACATATGTCTCGCGTGTGACTATTTACATTAAGCGTGTGCTCTCCCGAGAATGTGCGGCTCTTTTTTTTCACTCTCTCTCTCTCTCTCTCTCTCTCTCTCTCTCTCTTTAAATACAATATGTATATTTGTATATGTATATATACTTACGACAACGACGCGAAACGACTAGATTGTGACCCGACTCGAGCTCTCTTCTTCCCTTCCTCTTCTTATTTTCTCTTCTTTACTCTGTCTCGCGCCTCTCTTCTTTACTTGTGCTCCATACACACACGCAAAACACACAGAGTCTCTATACTATATACAGGTATTTACAATGGTGTACAATTAATGCGCGTTAATGATCGCGCGCGCAGGCAGATGCGCCGTCAGGGGGATTTTGCGAGGACGTTAACGAGCGGTCGCCATCGAAAGCGTGGACTGAAAACCGACCGACAGATCGGCCGAGTATTGTTTTGTCATAGGCTTGATCGCCGTTGCATTGCACATTATTACATCCATCATGCGGAAAGTTCGCGAGAGCTCTCACGAAAATTACAACCGCACGAATTGCGATGCGCGTCGAAACGATGCGTAAACGCTGCTTGATTTATGTACACAAATGATAGTCCAATGCTTATCTCGAAATATTATCTTTCTGCAATATTAAATAGTATTTCTTTACAATGATACAGTACGCATTTCGACGGCATTGCGTTCAGAGACGGTTTTAATTTTCGCAAGCGCTGAGTTAACAATGTCTTTTTTTGCACGCATTCGTCATGTCGATTCCTAGAGTCTTTACAATGCTGGAAAAATGCAACGGCTATTTGGATGATTTTTATGTAACTGGAATTTGCATTCCTATGATCGATCTATCTATATGCGATGATAAATGTTCGAATATCAGCGAATCTTTGTCGCGATCTTTGTTTTGGAATTTACGCGAATTCGCATACATTATAAAAAAATAATACATAAACTCGACAATTGTGCACATTTGTGAAGCATCTATAAGAAATAGTAGTAACGTCAAATTGTACGAATACGAAAGTTTGAAAAATACGAAATAAATTCTAATTAATTCAGGACATCTTCGTGATAATTCGAAGCGTCTTCATAACAAACGAGCCTTCTAGCAGATATAATGTAAAAAAAGAAGTAGCCACGGTAGTGTCGTTGCGTGTACTTTAGCGTCAAGACACTACCAGTGTCTCCAGATCTTTATATATGTTTCATAAATGATACTCACATTATTTTCCATAAACACTTCACAATTATTTGCGCGATTCGATTAACAGTATTCTTCACACTATCGAATTAGCGATCAATTAGTAATTTGTCCTTTTTCTGCAAAAAATTTTTCGCGGCTAATCATTCATCGCTTTCGAAAAAAAATCTTCCACCGGCACGAGCTCTTCATCATCAAACTCGACGCATTCTGCTCTTTTACATTTCTGTCCACGTCCACGAAATTCGTCTCGCGAGTCGAATGTTTCGAGAGGGTTTCGAGAGGAACGTCGATGGTTACCAATTTTCTCGACCGCGGTTTTTGTTTCATCATCTTCGTACCTCTCCGTCGCGGTCATTTGTACAATGTTTCATCGACCGCGAAGGATCCATTAAGTCCACCCGTTTCCTCTTTACCTCTTCTGTTGCTTTACTTCGCCGTTGTTCCATTTCTTTCTCTCTCTTTCTATCATCATCATCGCTTTTTTTTCCTCTTCTCGTCACCGAGCAAAGAAACTTCTTCAGCAACGTGACAAAGGACAACAAACGTTGTCCACACAGTCGAGTATGATTCTTTGGTTTTTCCGAGGACGACTGCGGCCAGCATTACGCGGAAATAAACGAACGCCATGAGAGAATTCCTCTTGTTCAGGTTTGGATAAAAATGCCTCCTTCCTGAAGGATTTTACTTTTCCCGGATGGCCAGCCGACTTCGTTGAAATCCAGCTCGATTCTTTGGTTTTTCTTCAGAATGCGGAAGAGTGCGCGACGACGGGATTGGATGACTAGTCTCGCGATCACGCGACTTCCTCTTTCCCGGAAACCGACGAAGTAGAATATTATCCGTAACTTTCCCGTGCACTGCCCCGTCGCTCTTTAGAACGACACGCGAAGACATTTTATCGTGGCTCAGGATGACCATCTTCCTACTATGACGTTTCCTTGTCCCGCTGATGGCAGGAGAACACGAGCCTAACAGTTGATTTTTTTATGATTACATCGTTCACAAAATTGCCCGCATTCCTCCGTGATGAAGTAGTCCCACGTTGCGTTTAAGAAGCTTTCACGGGATTGCAGGACAAACGCGGACTACTCTGTTATCAAGCAGGAAAGATGAAACGTAATGAGAACATTCGCTCAATTTTCTTCTTCCCGTTTCTTTCTTCTTCCGGAAGTACACCGCGTTTGCTTTTACCGATTATTATTGCTTCCGTTCAAAATTTTTCTCATTGTTTTAGAATTTTTAATCAACAATAAATTATATCTCCTCGCTCGTTTCTCGCTTATTTTCGACAAGCGCTCGGTCGCTTCTCTTGACTGTCGCGCGCGAACAGGCCGGCTTGGAAGAAAATATATGTACTACGAAACTATTACGCGATCCTTTTCGCACGGAAAGTGATCGAAGTCACGTTCTTCGAGGAGAACAACTGTCGACGACTCCGTCGCGTAACTCTCGTTCCTTACGTATCCTTTGCTTTTGGTGCTTCGGGAACGATTTAGCTCACGGTCTAGTGTGTTATTGAGAGTCCGGGATACTTGAAAATCTCCGTCGACGTTGCTCGACGACGGTCTCTCCCATCTTTTCCTTCGTTTCTTCTTCTTCTTTTTCTTCCAAGGGCGATCAGCTTCGCGTTACGTGTGCCTCGGTTGGCCGTACGCGAAGCTGACCTCGCGTCATGGATAGTCGGGGTGCATCAGATTGTACATGATCGCGAAGATTGTGCAGGCGGCATAGACACCCAAGGCAACCCACCAGAGTAACTGCTCGTGCAGCCGCTGCTCGAAGTTCTTCAGTACCAGGAGGCCGATTGTTAGGCCCGCCAGGGCGCCCGTCAGGTGGGCGACGTACGACACTGGCGGACCCATCTGTTCCGCGGCGTATCTATCGTAGATCGCAAAGCCCACGTCGGCGCTGGCTGTAATCAGAAATATTAAAATTTCTCTCTCTCTCCATAGAAATTTGTTACTGCCTGCTTAGAATTATTACGCATGATATATAATATTTCATTTCTCCACGCGTATTTCTCAATTTGAATTTATCTACACTGATCTATAGTGTTAAATTTAACCTATTATGTCGCCACTGCTCCTGCTCAATATATTGTTATTTTATCCATTGTTTTAGTATAAAACAATGGATAAAATAATGATACATTGAAGAGCTGTGGCGACTTACATTAGATTAAATTTGACATTATACATTTAACAGTGTATCTAAATTTAAATTGTCTTATTTATTAAATTTTAAATTGAAATCCGATTCTACTTTTACTATCTTTCAAATTAGTAGAATTTACAATTAGTAGGGTATTAATGCAACAGTGTAGACAGATTAACAGATTAATTTAAAATGAATAAAGGAATAATGTGCTTATCATGGAATATACTTTTTAAAAATTCTGTCTAGCTGCCTGTTCTGAAAGTACAGATGAAAATGCATAGTAAAGCGATAAGGAGAACAAGAGAGGAACAAGAAGAGAAACAAGAAAGAAGAGTAGAGCGAAAGAGAGTAAAAAAGTAAGGATGCCACGAAGAGTCGAGCCGACGGTAAGCTTTGAGAAGCTCTCGAAGTGTCGTCGAGAGAAGAGCTTTCCTGCAGCTTCCTTCCTGCAGCGGCTTTTTTTCTATGTCTGCGATCATCGTCGATGATTATGTAAGTTTGTTGTATTCCCGTAAGTAATTTGCTTCTTCGTTAGTTAACGTAGTGTGCGAATTTTCATTTTTAGTTTCGCAATCCATTAAGTATTCTCATCTTGTACGAATCTACATTCTTTAGGAAATTTTTTTATTTCCTTAATAAATGCAAATTATTACATTTCTTTTAAAGATTCTCTTAAATATGAGTAATTCATAAGGTCTTACATTTCTAAGAGATTTCTATTTTAATAAAGTCATAGCGTCCTTTAAAATTTTTATAATTATATACCAAAACCGCAAAAAGAACTTGAAAAATAACTAATAATTGAGTTCTAAACTAATTTACGTTAAAATTAAATTAATATAATTTAGATATAAAGAAGAAAATATTTTATTATCCTTTTATAAAGAAATATTTCATTTTCGACATTTAGTAATTCTACAATTGAGTTTAAAATTTTCGTTAACGAGATATGAACTTTAAACTTATCGAAACATTTAAAACTTTGAGGAAGTATACGAATTCTGATGTACATCCTTTATACTGTTTTCTTTCTCTGTTTTCAAACGCGATCTCTTTACGTCGTTGTTACCGTCGTTTAACTTGGATACTAAGGTTGAGTTATACAACTCTTGAAGTAACAAAAACTGGACCCTCTCCAAGCTTTTCCGTCTATCCGCTATTCTAACTTAATTATTTTCTCGACTGCAATCAGTATATCTATAAGTATATTCATTATATAATATGCTATAATATGATATTGTCATATCTTTTTTATCATAAGCGATATCCTTCATTTCTATACCAATTCTATGCTATCTTCTGTCTCAGCTTATATAATCCAATTTTGATAGAATTGTTAGATGAAAGCTTAGTGAATATTAGCTAGTTAATATTGGGTTATACATTATTATATCTGAAGCACTTTTAGTAATTTGTAGACCTCATCCGTTTCAATATTAAAATTAATCATGATCAATATACGATTATTCCGTAGACTTCACTTAATTATACGCCATCTCCATCTAAATTACATTTACGTTATATAATTAAAATTGCAATTTCCTCGTCGTGAAAATTTATTTAATTCTTTCCAACTTTCTCTCCTTTTTTCGCCGAGATGGATTCCAACCCGCTATTGTTCCATCAACTTTGAATATCAGCATCTCTTCTTTAATTTTCAACCAGGCTTACTCAGGTGCGAGCTTGATGACTCAATAAACACGAGTGTCGTCATCGTGCTCGTTTCAAAAATTGACGTAACAGCTACCTGTTCTTCTCGTGGTAAACAATCTCCACGTCGGCGAAAATTCTTCGCGACGATCATAGCGCGAGCACACCTATCTTTTAATTAAAACTTCAAAATAGCGACGGCTTTCATGGCTCTTCCTTCCCTTGCGCTTTTCAACTCTTATCGCGGGGGGAAAAAAGCGGAAATTGAAATTTCAGGAAAAGTATATCGAAACGAAGCGCGAGTAGAGGAAATCGAACGACTAGATGATAGTAAATAAAAGTGAATCGCGAAAAGAATATTAAAACGATATCTAAATCGACAAATTCGATATGACGCTATTAGATTTAACAAATCTAATATATATATATATATATATATA